CCTGCTTTGATGCTGATGAAAAATGAACTCTCTCTCTCTCACACACGCACACACACACTTTCAAACTTTGTAAGAAAAACAAACTTTGTATGCATTTTCTCATGATGTCTGTTTCTTTTGCTTCCATTTAGATAAGTCAATAAATACCAAGGAATTTAAGTGCTTCCTTTTTAAATCAGGATGAATTGGAAATCCTATCCCATGTGAAAAACTGCCACTTGAAACTATCAATAAAAGACTGCCTTGAGAATGGTGCTCTTTCAAACTTTGTAAGAAAAACAAACTTTGTATGCATTTTCTCATGATGTCTGTTTCTTTTGCTTCCATTTAGATAAGTCAATAAATACCAAGGAATTTAAGTGCTTCCTTTTTAAATCAGGATGAATTGGAAATCCTATCCCATGTGAAAAACTGCCACTTGAAACTATCAATAAAAGACTGCCTTGAGAATGGTGCTCATTACAGAACACTATAGAAAGATAGAAAGGTGGGTTCTAATCCCACTGGCCACATGATCAAGAGAAGAGTTCCCCAAAACAGCTGTTTTTAACCTATGGTCCTTTCAGAGACCCTTACTAATGGTTCTTGTGGGTTTTTCGGGCTCTTTGGCCGTGTTTTGAAGGTTCTTCTTCCTGATGTTTCACCAGTCTCTGTGGCCGGCATCTTCAGAGGACAGCACCCTTACTAATCTTGAGGCTTCTGGGAGTTGAAGTCCAAATAGTCTGATGAACCATGTAACTTCAGTGATTTTGGGTTTTGGCTTTAGCACATTAACGTTAAATTTGTTAAGAGGTACAGGAAGCTTTTAAAGGTTTACAAGGGCCCTGTGTATGTGCTTTTCTAATGTGTGGGACCACAGTACCATCAAACTCACCTAGATGTGGATCGTGGTATCGCTAAACCAACACATCTGGATGGTACCATGTGGAAGACTGCTATTATGTACCTTTTTTCCAGAATGTTTATATTTTTCAAGGAACTGCTTTAGCAGCAACAGAAACCAAAACCTCAGCCATGCCCAATGATTTTGTCCCTTCCCCACTCACATGCAGACATTTTACTTCTCGGGATTGCAGCTATAGTAGAAAAGGAGTCACTGTGTAAAGGATAGCTGGAGGACACATAGTTGTGTCACACATATGACACATACACCTTACAGAGCAAATGAAAGGTGCTAAACTATACTGTGTATCTCGAAGCAAGATACGCTGCTATCGCTCCTTCTTTTGTGCCAACAAAGACAACTGAAGATGATGCTGTCTTCCATTTACCACCACAGGGCATTTCAATCAAAGAGAGAAAAGGAGAGGGACTTCAAAATATCTTCTAATTAAGAAGTGAATCTGCCTTGGGAGAGCAATTAAGCTGAATCTGTCCTTTGCTTACTGAGGTTCATCCTACAGAACTCCAGAAATTGTTCCAAGTTATAGCAGTTTTGCCATGCACAACTCCTTCCCTTACTCCTCTAGAAGGGTCTCTCTCTCCACCATTCCTGTCGATTTTATTGCTTTGCATCATATTGCTTTCCTTTAGTCCACTGCTGTGGCACCTTCTAATGCTAGTGAAATAGTGACATCCAAGCCATAAGAACGCACAAAAGCAAGTACTATAACAGGATTGTTGCAGGTATTCTATTGTGAGTGTTTACAACAGCAAAATGATGTATAGGTTAAATTAAGTCCCTCTAAAGCACATTCCAAGGTCCCTTGAGCAAGGAGCATGCAGACACCCTTAAGGCTAGAATAGCTATGTAATCTTTTTGAATGTGATTTGGTTTGGGGCTTAAAGATGAAACTATTATTCAGTAGTTCGTACACCCATGGTCACAAAGGGCCAGACACTCCCATTCAGGGACAAAGCTTTGCCATTGCTTAGATTTCAGTGTACTGAAATGAACACATCTGGGATTCTGAGCATGCCCGGTTGATACAAAAGGTTTCAAATGGAGGAAAAAGATGAGTTTACAGTACAGATAGTCAACTGTAACCAGTACATGGGAAGCAACTGGCTCTCACTCCCAGGCAGGGACAACCCAACACATTCTGAACTTCAAATATGATCTGTAGAAAGTCAGGTCTTCAGATGTTGCTGAGCTGCAATGGCCCGCATTTCTGGCCATGCAGGAAAGAGCTAACAGAATTTGCAGTCCAGCAACAGCAGGGAGGCTGCACTTTGCCCACCAGCCCTTGCTATTTTAAACAACATAGCCCTGCAACACCATTGTCTGGAAAAAAGATAAGAAGGGGACATGGGCAGGAGTTGGTTAGCAAAATCAAGCTGGACCCAGTAGCAGTCAACAAAAAATGCAATATTTGCCAGTTTCTGTACAGTTCCAGTGAGGTGTACCAAAGATGCACAGCAAACCTGATACTTGTAGATATGTAGATTCTACTCTATTTCCGTCTAGAGCACAAAATTTCACATGTGCCACAATGGTTTTGTTGTCTTTATTTTATTTTATTTTATTTTGCTTTTGTTTTCTTTTGTTTCTTGTCCGATATGCTTGCACAGACTAATACAGCCACTATTTCAAAAACCACAACTATGGAAGGCACTGAATTCAGCAGAATGGAGTGGCGATCCATCAGTGTCATGAAGAGATTTGCACAGGTAGAAACACACACCCTCTTCCTTACCAAAGGCAAATAGCAAGACTGCTTGCCCAAGGGACTTACAATGAGAAATCCTTTGCTCCAGTTACTAACAGCAAAAGATTATGCAACATTCTCTTTTTTTAAAAAAAGCAACAACCTACTTAGCGTCCTGTACAACAAGCAAAGGAAAACGCCGAAGGATGTTACAGATCTTGTACCACATATACAGAACCAGCTCTCTGCAATGGACACTGCATAAATATTCACCACCATGAGAAAAAACATATGTGATGCACAATTTACTTGCCCAAGGAAAAAGAAAGAAAACAAACCACCTAATCTACAACAGAGTCACTTAGCCCACAACAAGAACACCCTGGACCTGCTCAACGACATCATAAATCTATGTATCCACACACTGAACCAAGCAAAAGTGTCAGTCCACTCATGGGGCTTTTCTATTTGTCCCACCAGACCCACACAGATGATACAGCTCTGTGATGACCTGGAGGGCTTTTCCCACAGACAGCAATTCAAAGAATATTTCTACAATTTTGACAATAAAAGGGACCGTAACACAAAAGCTGTAACTCTCAACAACATGAGAAGGAAGTCTCCCAGCAATACGAAAAG